CGATTCACTCGACTCTTCATCCCTCACTTCCGAGGAACTCGATGTCGTCCAGTTCATGAGAATGGAGCGCAAAGATCGCAGCTCCCGACCACCCTCATCTACCCCACCCTCCCGCATCAAGAAACTCACCCCCGAGGAGCGGACCTACCTCCAAGCAAAAGGGGAGTGCTTCCATTGTCGCCAATTGGGGCACCAACAAACCAACTGCCCCAACGCCGCACGATTCACCCGCCAGTCCGCCTCCACGCGACCCGCAACCTCCACATCACCGCCCTCGGCAAGCACGGGCCCCTCCTCATCATGAACACAGTCCCCAGGACACTGACCCGGCATCAGCATCGCATCTGTCGGCCTACCCATCGGTGACATCCTTCGTCCCACCGATGGCCCATCTGACATCGACAATTTGTTTGCCTTCCCCCTCTCGGCGACGCCCCCTCCACCGGAAGATTCCCAGGCGTCGCAAATGCCTCCCACTGCCTCATGCTCCTCTACACTTCCTCCAAATCCATCCACTATCAACTTCTCTGATGTTGTTGAGGAACAAGCCCGACACGATCGGCTTGTCCGCTTAGGCAACGAACAACGCCGCCTCAACACCATCATCTCCACCGCCAACTCATCTCGTTTCCACCTCAAATTCATCGCTGCCACCCTTGGTGCGTCTACAACTAAGTTCCGRGCCCTCCTCGACATTGGAGCCACCGATAACTTCATCACCGACGCGTGTGTCAGCAAAGTCGGTCTTACCTCTACCGGTTATGACTCCCTGATCACTATTCGCCTAGGGGACAAAGACACCGCCGTCGTAATAGACCGCACCGTTCCCGAGACCATCATGACCGTCGAAACCCTCAACAGTCAGGTCTCGTTTGATGTCATGCACTTAATGTGCGACATCGTCTTAGGAACCCCATGGCTGGACCGCTACATGCCATACACATTCCACCCCAACTTCCTTCGCCTCACCACCCCCCCGACACAACCATTGACATCCCCTATCTCCCATATCCGACCTCCCAAGGCTCTGTCACCCCGCACCAATTCCTCCACATGGCTCGCCTAAACCCCGACTCCGCCTACTACTGTCTTGTCCTTGATCGTGAAACTCCCAAGGACTTACTCCCGACGGACAAACTCGATCAAGCCCCGCCCTCCAACCCCGCCATCACTTCAATCCTCGACGAGTTYAGGGACGTCTTTCCCGAGTCCTTACCCGCCGGACTACCTCCGGATCGTGGCGTATCGCATACCATCGATTTGGAACCCGGACATTCTCCACCTTGCCGCCCTCCATACCAACTCTCTGTCCCCGAAGCCGAAGAAACGAAACGGCAACTCGGTGAACTCCTTGAAAAAGGGTTCATTAAGCCAAGTTCATCCCCCTTCGGAACCAGCTGCCTTTTCGTCAAGAAAGGTGGAACTTCGGAACTCCGCATGTGCACAGACTACCGCGCCTTGAGCCGGATCACGATCAAGAACAAGTACCCCCTACCTCGGATTTCCGAGCTCCTTGATCGTCTCCGTGGAGCTAAGTACTTTACCAAGATCGAGCTTCGCAGTGGCTTCCACCAGTTCCGTATCCGCGAGGAGGACACCCACAAGACCGCCTTCCGCTCTCTTTTCGGGCACTACGAGTTTCTCGTGATGCCGTTCGGACTCACCAATGCCCCCGCTACCTTCCAATCTACCATGAACCACATCTTTCGCAACCTCCTCGAAGTCTGTGTCGTCGTCTACCTTGATGACATCCTTGTCTTCAGCCCCACCTTCGAGTCCCACCTTCAGCACCTCCGCCAAGTTCTCTCGATCCTCGGCGAGCAAAAATTCTACGCCAAGCTCAGCAAATGTACGTTTGCCGCTTCGAGCGTCGAATACCTCGGCCTTATTGTCTCCGCTGAAGGCATCCGTATGGACCCCTCGAAGGTCACAACCCTCGTCGAGTACCCCCCACCCAAGACCCTCCTCCAACTCCGTTCCTTCCTTGGCCTTACCAACTATTAGCGCCCGTTCATTCGCAACTTTTCCGAGATCTCTTACCCTCTCCACGAACTCACCCGCAAGGACGAGCCTTTCCATTGGAACGATCGCCGCCAACACGCTTTCGACTTGCTCAAGCAAACCATCACCACGACCCCTGTTCTCAAGATCGCCGACCCCACTCGCCATTTCTATGTCACCTCTGACGCCCCTGACTTCGCCATCGGAGCCGTAATGTCCCAACATTTCCCCCGCGACACCATCGAGACCCCCTCCATCAAGGACTCGCCCACCCACCCCGAGGCTCCACCTGGCGAATACCCCATCGCCTTCGCAAGCAAGAAGCTCCTTCCCACGGAGATGAATTACCCCTCCAACGAGAAGGAACTCCTCGCCGTGATTCACGCCCTCACAGTCTGGCGCCCGTACCTCGACGGACAATACTTCACCATCCGCACTGACAACACCCCCCCGCTGGCTAGACTCCTCCATCCTCTCCAAGAAAGATATCACTCCACGCCAAGCCCGCTGGCTAGACTTCCTTGCCCAGTTCACATTCACCATTTGCCATACCCCCGACAAAAGCAACTGCGTTGCGGATGCCCTCTCGCGACGACCCGACCACAAGCCCCCCGAGAAAGTCTACGCCGCCATGACTCATATTCAACTCCTTCCATCACTTCATCATCGATACACCCAAGGCTATCTCTCCTGCTCAGACTTCGCCACCATTTACAACAAACTCCGCGATCTTGACCCAGTTCCGGACTACTCCCTCCACAACAATCTCCTCTACATCGATACCAAAGGCACTCGCCGACTTTGCATCCCCGACGCACGAGGCTTCCGTACTCAGCTCTTGGCCGAGCACCACGACGCCAAGACCGCAGGACATCTCGGTTTCCAAAAAACCTTCGACACCATCTCCCGCTACTTCTACTGACCTTTCCTACTCGCCGACGTTAAGGCATACATTCGTTCGTGCCCCATGAGTCAAGCTGTCAACCTCTTGAACCGGGCCAAATCCGGCAAGCTCCAATCATTGCCCATCCCAACTCACCGGTGGCAGTCCATCTCCATGGACTTCGTGTGCGGCCTCCCCAAGACCGACCGCGGGCATGATTGCATCTACGTCATTGTCTGCCGCTTGACCAAACGTGCCCACTTC